TTTTTTTGGTCTTTTTGAGACAGGGTTTCCCTGTAGCTCCAGCTGTCCTGGAACTCACTATGTTCACCAGACTGGCCTTGAACTGAGAGATCCGCCTGCCTCTGCCTCCTGAGTGCTGGGATTAAAGGCGTGAGCCACCAACTTCAACTACACCATAATTTGTTATTAGAATTCTTTTTGTTAGTGAATTCTGTTCCCTGCCCCAGTGTAGTTTTCCTAAAAAGTATGCTGTATGTATAAACATTTTCATATAGTCTCTTGCTAGATAGGGCTGCTCATTTTAAAGATGCCAATTCCCTTTAAATATTTTTTTCAAGTGGTGACCATGAACTTCCAGGAAAAATCTTTTCTTCACTGTTCTTAGTGCTTTTCTGTTGCTTTCCAACTTGTTATAATTTCCCAATCAATATGTTAAATAAAGGTGTCACAGATACTTCAGAATGGACAGTCCAAACCTTGAACTCCTTACCTCCTCATTCAATTATTCATCCTGACTGCCACAGTTTTTCCATCTCAGAAAATAAATCTATCTTTCCATTTCTGTAGGGCACAACTACAAAATCATCCATCTCTCTTTTGTCATGTCCACATCCAATCCATCAGCAAATCCTTCATGTCAAAATATACAGAACCCAACCTAGCCTCAGGTCTGGTTGTAGTCATCCTTATCATCACTGCTGACTGGATTATTATTATAACAACTTAACCGGCTTCCTCGTTTCTGTTCTTGCTTCCTCTCTCCAATACAGTTTATTTTCAGTAAGTAGCTGGAATTGTCTTTTAAAGACTGAAATCAGGACATTTCCAGCTCAAAGCTCTGCAGTGACTCTTCATCTCATTCCAACCCTCATTGCCTCTCTCCTCTTCCTGCTCTCAGCCCCCTGTGCACCCTGGCACCACACACTGGCTCCTTGCCGCTTCCTGAACCCACCAGGCACATTTATGATCATAATCCCAGTGCTTTTACACTGCTGTACTCTCTGAGAATCTCTTCTAGATGCCTTCATGAGTCTCTCTTCTTCACAACCATCCTGTTGAAAACTCCCCTCTCACTCAAAGCAGACAGTTATAGTCCCTTCTCCAGCTTTATTTTTCTCCATAGTACTTACTGCTTTTTTGTTGCTTTATTATTACTTATTTATTATTACTTATCTGTTACCTGTCTACTCTGAACAGAAGATTGAGACTGATCACTACTATGTATACTAGTGCCTAGGATAGCGTCTGACACATAGTACATACACAATTGGACAAATAAATGAGTATGAAACTCCCAACAAAGGCAGCATATTAAAATGCAAGATTTTCAAAGGAAGCAAACATGTTTTCAGAGAGAATTGATCACCTGGAGACCTGTACTGAAAAAAAATGCTGAAAGAAGTCCTTCAGGCAGAAGGAAAATAAGATCAGATGAAAAAGATGAATTCTGAAATTGGTATAAAGGAGTAATCACATGAGTGGTCACATAAGAATTCATTATTTAACTGTCATTAAAGGGTAATAACTGACTTCATAAACAGTACTAAATCCAAATGAAGGCAGAATAAAAACAAAAAAAGAGGGCCTGTGAGACTGTTCACAGCGTTTGGTAAAGGTGTTTGCCATCATGTCTGACAATCAGAGTTCGATCCCCAGAACCCACATGGTGGAAGGACAGAACTGACTCCCACAAGGTATCCATCCCCTGGTCTCTCCACACATAGCGTGGCAATCACACCCAAACAAACACATAAACTAATGTAGTAATTTCTTATTTTAAAAAGAGAAAGTGAATAGGTGACCCAAATACACAACAAATAACAAAATGGCAAACTTAACCCCATCAATAATCAAAATAAATATAAATGATTTAAACATTCCAATAGCTGGGTGTGGTGGCACACACCTTTAGTCCCAGCACTCGCAGAGGCAGGCAGATCTCTGTGAGTTCAAGGCCAGCCTGGTCTACACAGTGAGTTCCAGACCAGCTGGGGCTACAGGAGAGACCCTGTCTCAAAAGGACAAAAAAAAACCCATTCTAATAAAGACAAAAATTGTCATAAAAAGATGAGACTCCTCTACATACTGTCTATAAACATTCACTTTAAATACAAAATCATGACCAGGTTAAAAAAAGTTGGTAAGGTAGCTTACACCTGTAATTTAAACACATGGGAGGCTGAGACAGGCAGAGTCCTGTAAGTTCAAGACCAACCTGGGCAACAAGGTGAGTAACAGCCCAGCTTGGGCTACAGTGTAAGACCTTGTCTCAAACAAACAAACAAATAGATAAAAAACAAAAAGATGGAAAAATACATATTATATTCATGTTACTACAAAAAAAGCTGCAATGGTCATAGTAACATTTGATAAGAAGGTTTATTATAATCATTTTATAATAATAAATGTTCAGTTCATCAGAAAATATTATCATCCTAAATATTTATTCTTCCAGTAACAGTTTAAAAACACATGAAGCAATAAGACAGAACTGTAAGGAGAAATACACAAGTCCACAATTGTAGTCAGAGATTTCAATACCCTTCTTTCAATAAACAATAAAACAAGTTCATAGAACTTTATACTTACCAAGTATAAAGTAAACTGGAAAAAAAAAAAACAACCCACTAACCAACATGACCTGGCTGACATCTACACAACATTCTACCAATATCAGCACAAAATATATTCTTCAAGTATACACAGAATATTCACCAAGATAAACCAGATTCTGGGTCACAGAAGATGTGGCTATTAGAACTAATATACAAATTTAGTAGAGATATAGGATACAAAAATCAATGCAAAAAAATAGTAACATTTCTACATATTAACAGCAAACTAAAAATGAAATTTAAAAAATCCCATTTAAATAGCTAGAAAAACAGAATATTTAGGAATATATTTAAACAAGGAGATGAAAGACTTCTACACTGAAAAATCTAAAACACTGGTGAAAGAAATTGAAGATGACACAAATAAATGCAAAGATATTCAATGCTTGTGGATTGGAAGCATTAACAGTTTAAATGTCCATACTAACCAAAGTAATCACAGATTCAATGCAGTCCGCATCAGAAAAGTAATCTTAAGTAAAAAGAACAAAGCTAAAGGTATCAGACTACTGAACCTCAAAACAGACAACATGGCTACAGTAACACAACAGCATGGTAGCACCAAAACAGACATGGGACCAAGGAGGGAAAGAAAGAACACAGAAAGAAAGAAGCCTGAACACTTAGAGCTGGCAGGTTTAACCAAGTTACTGAGAAACACTCAGTGGAGAAAGGATGGTCTCATCAATAAGCAGTGCTCAGTCTCCACATGCAGAACAAAGCTACACCCCCATCCCCAACTACATACTCAAAGCAAGGCAAGCTTCCTTCTGTCAGCCCTCTCAGGCTGCCACTATCTTGACACTTTGTAATACCAGGTAAGGACAAGAAGAAAGCCAGAAAGTCCACCAAGAGAGAAAAAAGACCCAGTGAACAAAATTGAGACCAAGGCAAAAAGATGTAGCCTCAAGGCAAAATCCAGAACAAACTCATTAACAGCCTTGCTGACAGAAGTCTGACAACTGGAAAAGGAAGTTCCTAACTCTAAGCTTACAACCACAGCTCTAGTCTCTTTAAGTCTGAAATTCACAATTTCCTGGCCAGAGCAACCTTTTGGAAGCCCCTGAGTAAGGAACTGGCTTCAAAGCACAAACTAATGCACAGTAGAAATACAAGCTACCATGAAGATAAATGAACAGGTCCAGCCAACCATATAGTTGAAAAAATAAAGCTTTAAAAAACAGGGGCTGGAGAGATGGCTCAGTGGTTAAGAACACTGGTTGCTCTTGCAGAAGACCTGGGTTCGAATCCCAGAATCCACATGGCAGCTAACAACTGTCTGTAACTCCAGTTTCAGGGGATCCGAAAACCTCTTCTGTCCTCCGGGGGCATTGCACGACATGGGTGCACTTACTTACATGCAGGCAATACATGCATACACATAAAAATAATAAAATTTTTTAAAAAACTTTATTTAAACAAAAGAATCAATACAAGTTGAAGAGATGGCTCAGTGGTTAAGAATATTGGCTGTTCTTGCAGAGGACCCAGGTTCAAATCCCAGCACCCACATGGCAGCTAATAACTATCCATAACTCCAGTTCCAGGGGATCTGACGGCTTCTTCTGTCCTCCACAGGCATTGCAGGACATGGGTACACTTAATATATGCAGGCAATACACACATACACATAAAATAAAAATAATAAATTTTAAAAAAGAATCATCACAAGGCTGGGAGAGAAGGCTCAGTGGTGAAGAGCACACACTGCTCTTGCAGAGAACCTGAGCTCTGTTCCCAGCACCCATGTTGGGTAGCTGACAACTATGTGTAACTCCAGATCCAGGGGATTCAATGCCCTCTGCTGGTCTCTGTCAGCACCTGCACTCATGTGCACATACCCACATACATACACAATACACATAATTAAAAATAAAATATCTTTTTAAATTTTTTAAAAAAGAATATGATTTGGAGCAAAGACAATATAAAGAACCACAACTACGAAATACTAGGAGAAAACTATGAAATGCTCTGTGGGACTGGGGAGATGGCTTAGAGGGTAAGTGCTTGCTGTACAAGTATAAGGACTCAAGTTCAAATCCCCCAAATCCACATAAAAACCAAACATGTCTGCACACACAAGTATAATCCCAGCTGATGGGCATCTGTGAGGAATCGACAGTTAACATCAGACTTTAAGGTAAAAAAACAAGACAGAAGTCCAGTCTTCTTCTGAATTAGCATTCTTTACTGGGGCGTTCTAAACTCCTGCAACCAGACAAGAAATAAAAAGCACTCAGATTGAAAAGAAAGAAGTAAAACCACCTTGATCACAGACAATATGATTGTCTATGTAGAAAATCTGACTGACTTTACTACTTTAAGTGAATTACAGAAAGATGGTATTTACAAGTTCAATAAACGAAAACAAACTACATTTATATATATTAGTTGTGGTGGTTTAAAAATCCCTCATGAGCACATCTGTTTGAGCACTTCGTCTCCAGATGGCGGTGTTGTTTTGGAAGGTTGTAATGAAGCCTTGCTGGAAGGAGTGGGGCACTAGGAACCCATCTCCAGTTTTAATAGCCCAGACCCACTCCCTGTCTGCCCTCTGCTTCCTGAGGACAGGATATGCTCAGGTGCCTCAGGCTCCTGCCACCTTCTATGCCAAGACGGACTGTATCGTCTTGAATTCTAAGCCCAAATAAACCTTTTATCCCTAAAATTGGTTCTTGCCAGGCATTTGGTCACAATGACAAGAAACTAGTATGCTAGTAGAAATTGGAACCTGGTTTTAACAGCACACTGAAAATTAAGAGAAATTTTAAAAATCATAAATATATGGAGAGATAACACATATCTCTTTGTGGATAGGAAGATTTAGTATTATTAAATGCTGGTAGGCAGGCTTATGGACCCCAAAGGGGGTCCATGTCCTAACACCTAGAACTTGTGAATGTTATCTTACACAGTAAAAGGGACTTTGCTAATGTGATTAAGTATCTTGAGATAGGGAGATTATCCTGGATTATTATGTCAGGGCCCCATGTAATAAGGGTCATTAAGGGAAGGAGAGTGACAGAGTCAGAAAAAAAAAAAAAATGTGAGCACTGGCGTTGGAGATGGAAGGCAGGCACAGGAAATGCAGGCAGCCTCTAATTGAGACAAGGAAGATATGGATCCCTTCCCAGAGCCTGCAGAAAGAATTAGCTCCCCTCACACATTACGTTTTGTTCCATTAAAAAAAAAAAAATCATTTTAGATTTCTGACCTCCAGAACTATAAGCTAATAGTGTTACAGTTTTAGTCTACTACGTGTGGTAGGTTATTAAAAACTGCAATAGGAAGCTAGGACAGATGTTCTCAAATTGATCAATCCTATCCAAATCAAAATTCCTGAGCCTGTTAAACAACTCAGGAGGTAAATGCCTGAGGTCCTGAGTTCGATCTCCAGAGCCCACAAAAAAGTGAATAGAAAGAACCAATTCCAAAACAAGCTGTCCTCTGACCTCCACACTGGGTCATGACATGCACGCACCAGCACTCACACACACACATGCCCATACCCACATCCACACTGTTAGGGCTCAGATAGGCCCACCCCCTCACCAACAGGGCTTCAGGGACCTCACAAGCCCCTGAGAAAGGGAACATTATTAATAAGCACCCTGGTCTTAGAAGTCAAGAGAAGCAGACTCTTCACTGTTTGGCCAACACAGCAGGATTCCCCTTCGATCTCTAAAGGGGGCAGGTTTTAACAGTCCCGCTCTCCTGCTTCCCCACTCCCCAACCTTTAAAAAAAAAAGTATCTTCCTGCCTTCTGCACCCCCCAGAAGCCTCCCCCTATAAAAGACCCCAGCTCATGACCTGGGGGCAGACATTTTCCCTACCTAAAAGGGAATCTGTCCCAGGTGTTCCTTTTAATAAACTCTATTCCGCTGGAGTTTTATCTGTGCCCTGGTGCTTTCTCCCGATTAACTCGATTCATCCATTGGCTACTTCATCTGTCACACACAAAATAAACATCCCTGCCCTCATGGAGCTATGTGGGATTGAAATGTGCAGTAAGGACACAGCAATGACAAATGAGAAGAGTCCTGCTAAGGTGGGAAAGGGAGCAGTCCACCAACAAGAAGGGCTTTGTCTGTAGGGAACTGATAATAAAACTGCCTAAAATCCAGCTGCTTTTTATTACCACTTGAGCCACCAGTTTTTTTTTTTTTGTTGTTGTTGTTGTTGTTGTTGTTTTGGGGGGGGGGACAGGGTCTCCCTATAGGCCCAGCTGTCCTGGAACTCACTATGTAGACCAGGCTGGCCTTGAACTCACAGAGATCCACCTGCCTCTGCCTCCCGAGTGCTGGGATTAAAGGCGTGGGCCACCACACTTGGCTCAATCATTTACTTCCTTTTTTTTTAAAATTTTATTTTATGTGTATGCATGTATTGCCTGCATGTAGGTAAATGTACCATGTCGTGCAATGCCAGCGAAGAACAAAAGAGGCCGTCAGATCCCCTGGAACTGGGGTTAGGGACAGTTGTTAGCTGCCATGTGGGTGCTGGGATTCGAACCCGGGTCTTCTGCAAGAACAACCAGTGTTCTTAACCACTGAGCAATCTTTCCAGCCCCCAGAGAATATCTTTAAACATAGAAAACCAGGGGAGAGCACTAACGCAGTCCCCCATTACCACAAATTATGCAGTGGAGTTTCCCGCATTTGGGGAAAATCGCTGGGGCCAGCACATCTCACAGTGCAATGGATGTGCCTCGTCCTGGGAAAACCACCTTCCTGATCATAGTGTTTCCCCTGCCAGGTAAGTATTAGTCATTTACTTCTTATTGCTGCCACTTAATATTCCTTTCTTCTTGTTAATGACTAACCCAGACAGTGGTAGAGCTGGTCATCCAGCCCTTCTCAGCTTGAGTGGATGAATTTCCAGCTGGTGGATCAGATCCTGGCCATCTTATGGTTTAGGGTGTCCTAGGAGTCTGTCTATATAGCTGAAGTTAGGGCACTGCTGCCATCCAGGTGGCTGGTGACCTTAGGTCTCATCTCAGTTTCCTTTATCCTCTTTATTATCACCTGGGCCTTTATTACCTCTGGGCCTATCCTCTTTAGTGAGGAGAGCCCTGCAGAATCCTGGTCACTGTGAACACCATACCTGTTCTAATGTTACCCTGTCCTGCACCATGCTTGTCAACAGTCTCCACTTCTGCCTGTACAGGAGGGTTGCAGTACTGCAATCAATATGCATTTGGGTCTTAACAACTGGTAGGGTAGGAATTTCACCTAAAGAAGGGTGAAATTGTTGGCCTGACCTTGAGAATGCTGATTCCTCCATTTTTCCCTACTGACTACTGGTAATTCTTCTAGCAATTGCATGGAGAACCTCTACTGTGTGGATGGGTAACACTGGTGTCGGTCATAGTCTGTTACAAGTTTACTGCCATGAACTGGAGCACTATCAGGACCCATGTGTCTCTGCATCCTCTTCTCCCTCAGCAGTCAAGCTCCAACCTCTCCATCTCCTGTGCTGCAAAGGTGCTTCCTAGAGCTGTTCTTTATGGTGGTTTGGTGTGCAAGCACATCTTTCTTGGCATCCTTCTATTGATGAAAACACATCTATTCCTCACCCTGAACCATTTTGGTGTTCCCCAAACTTTTCTTGTCTCTGCAAACAGACCACCACTTCCTGCTCTGTGCACAGTGCCACGCTTGGTGTGGTCTTGCTGAGGGTGGTAGCTAGAGCCTTGGTAAAGGTGAAAGTGCCTGTGCAGCTGTGTCCCTCCTGGGTGTAATAGTGACCAGGCAGGCAGTAAGCTGTTCAGCCCTCTCTGACTTCTGCTTACTGCTGCCGATAAAATTCTGATTGTAACTCTTTCAAACTTAACTTCTGTCAGCCTGTTTCTGGTTGACCAGAAACCTTGCCCAGGATAAACAGTTGGTTAACACATATTTTGTAAGCCACAAGTATCTTGTATGTGGGACACCCTGAGAAATCACTTTTACTGAGAAAATCATATTTCTTGTGTGAAAACCATGTAGGAACTGATGTATCATTTTTTATTGTGATAGGCAACTTTCTGACAGATGGACTGCTCACACAGAGATGATCAGCATCTAAGTGCGGTTTGTTTAAAACTGTCACTTGGCAGGTCCTGAGTTTGCTGCACAAGCAGTGGGAGGGGCTATGGAATCCCAGCAGTCTGGTATACACTGCAGTTCACTTACACAGTTCTGATTAGTGCTGCAACTTTACATTTTTACCTTCCTCTCCACTGTGGATGGTATCATGTACAGTTTGTTTATGTAAGTTTTAATTGACCTTTTTAGTGTTTTATAATAGATTTTCATGCTTCATGATAGTAAATGATAAAAGTCTATTATCTGTATGTATTTTACATATTCATATTATACCAAACTTTTCCTTAGGTATTTAGATAGACAGACAGACAGATAGTTTCTAGGTTTTCAGTTAGCCTACAAATTTTTTCAAACTGTCACAAATCTTCCCAAAAGAATCTGCATGTAAATGAACCCAGGCAGTTCAAGAGTCATCTGTAATCATTACAGTAATTGCTGAGCTTAAATAGCACATATGAAAGTAGATCGTCAGATTTTTTTATTATTTAACCCTGAAGTGTTCTCTTACTCAAGTTCATTTGGAGACTCTCAGTGATCCTTGGTCCCACATGTGCAGACTTAGCCAGGCCTACTTGTTTTGGTAGCAGTTAAAATGCTCAGACTCCCAACTAGGAACCTGAAGCCCTCTCTAGCCCTTCCTACCCACCCCGTTCCAGCTTGCCCTGTGCTGCTACTCACTTCTCCATTTGAATGATCAGTTCACAGTAAACAAAGACAGCACAGTGAATGCCCAAGGGCAATAAACACCTGGAGGAGGGGCACAACTATCAAAGATCAGCCGTCTGAAACAAAAAAGTCATTAGTACCGGAGGCTAGAGAGATGGCTCAGTGGTTAAGAGCACTGGCTGCTCTTGCAGAAGACCGCCATTCCATTCCCAGTGCCCACATTGTGGCTAACAGCCATCTATAACTCCAGTTCCAGAGGATTGGACACCCTCTTCTAACCTTCATGGGCACTGCATGACATGAGTGCACTTCTATACGTGCAGGCAATACATTCACGTGCATAAAATAAAATAAAAAAGAATAAATATTTTTAAATTTTTATTTATTTTTAAAATATGGAACGCTTCATGAATTTGCGTGTCATCCTTGCGCAGGGGCCATACTAATCTTCTCTGTATCGTTCCAATTTTAGTATATGTGCTACCAAAGCGAGCACTTATTTATCATTTTATGTGTATGTGTATTGCCTGAATGTATGTAAGTGCACTCATGTCATGCAATGCCCTCAGAGGACAGAAAAGGGTGTCAGATTCCCTGGAACGGGAATTACAGACAGTTGTTAGCCACCAGTGGGCGCTGGGATTGGAACCTGAGTCTTCTGCAAGAACAGTCGGTGTTCTTAACCATTGAACTATCTCTGCAGCCCCTAAATAAAATATTTTTAAGTAATTAGTATTAATAACATTTAAGTAGCACCTTGGAGCTAAAACTATGCTTTATGAATATAAAACTTCAATAGCTAATTGAAGAATTGCCTGGAAATTACTGAATCCAATTAAAGGACCCAAAAGAATAATTATTTAAACTCAAAGGAAAAAATACAAAGTGGAAGAAATGATGTGTGACAATATAAGATACAGAGGGCCAAGATTCAGACCTAGGAGAACAAATTAATGACAGGGGCTAAAATGAGGGAGAAAAACAGACTGAGGAAAGGCACTGATTACATAACAGAAGAAAATATCTTAGAACCATAGAGACATGAGACCAAATGAAGACAGAAAGGGGTCAAGTTCTAGTCATTAATGAGGTGAAAGAAAAAAAAAAATCAACTCAACACATCCCATTGAAATTCCTAAATTCTAGGCACAGAGAAAGATCTTCAGAGCTTCCACTGAAAAATAAAAGAAAATGATCTTCCTGCAGTGTTTAAGAAGTCTAGGGAACTCATTTTTTTTTCAAAGTAGTAAATTAAGGGAAAGAATCAAGCACTGATTCTACCTTTCCTATGTACTTTGATTCCTGGGTTATCTACAGTAGATACAGGGACGATTATAGAAATATTCTGGAAAATAAATTTAGGAGAATGATAAAATTATCATATTATACTTATCATTTTATAGCTCTTAATTTATGTACGTAGGTATCATATGCCGAGAGCTACATCATACAGAGAAAATCAAACATTACATATCTCCTAATAGAAGAAAAACACTACTAGTTAAACTTGCCCCAATGAACTCAACCTGAGTTGATCAACCAAAAGATGCAAGCTACCAGTTACACAAACAAAGTATGAAAGATCAGATGAAACTGAACCAGAGAGATGCAGCCAGCAAAACATATACTGCTGAGAATTTCTGTAGAAAGCCTGGTTTCTTCAACAAATAAATATCAAAGGAGAGAGTCAGGGTGAGGAAATACATGGCTAAGAAACCTACAGATTAAAAAATCCACCAACATGGGGCTGGAGAGATGGCTCAGGGGATAAGAGCACTGACTGTTCTTGCAGAAGACCCAGGTTCAAATCCCAGGACCCATATGGCAGCTAACAGCGGTCCATAACTCCAGTTTCAGGGGATCCAACCCTCTCATCTGCCCTCCCCAGGCACTGCATGACATGGGTGCACTTACCTACATGCAGGCAATTACACACATACACATAAAATAAAAATAATAAATAAAATTAAAAATAAATTAATTAATTAAAAATCCACAACAATCAAAATGCGTGCCTGTTTAAAAGTACCATGATCTTATGAGAGACTACTTGAAACCTGAACACTGACTACTAGATAATCTTAAGGAATTACTCATTTTTAAAAACAGTATTGCTGGGCGTGGTGGCACACACCTGTAGTCCCAGCACTTGGGAGGCAGAGGCAAACGGATCTCTGTGAGTTCAAGGCCAGCCTGGTCTACATAGTGAGTTCCAGGACAGCTGGGGCTACAGGGAGACCCTGTCTCAAAAAGACCAAAAAATAAAAATAAAAAAAGTATTAAAGTTATGTTTTTAAAAGTCCTTTCTTTTTAGAGATGTGAACTGAAACAAGGAATTTTGATAAAATAATGTCTGGAATTTACTTCAAAATAAACAATGAAGAAGCCTTTGGGGGGGTAGTGCCAGAGACTGAATTTAGGGCTTCCCACATGCTAGGCAGGTAATCTAGCACTGAGCTACATTTTCAGCCTATCAGCTGGTAATTCTTAAAACTGGTTGTGTGGGTATGGAGGTTATTCCTTCTTCTTGATACAACGTAATGGGTTTCATTCACTTTTATACATTCAAATGTCATATTTTGATGACATGCACACTCCCTTGCCCCCCCTCTTTGATCTATATCATCTTTCTAACAGTCCCCCTTCTACTTTTTTTTGGTCTTTTTGAGACAGGGTCTCCTTGTAGCCCCAGCTGTCCTGGAACTCACTATGTAGGCCAGGCTGGCCTTGAATTCACAGAGATACACCTGCCTCTGCCTCCCCAAGTGCTGGGATTAAAGGCGTGTGCCACCGTGCCCGGGATCAAAATCAATGTAATTTTTTTAAAGACTATTTTATGGGGCTGGAGATGGCTCAGCAGTTAAGAGCACTGACTGCTCTTGCAGAGGACTCAGGTTCGATTCCCAGCACCCATATGTCAGCTAACGACCATCCATAACTCCAGTTCCTGGGGATCTGATGTCTTCTTCTGACCTCCACGGGCATTGCATAACACAATGTACTACACAGGT